AGTATGACATCTTGTACTCGTCCCAATAAATCATCTCTCTTCACCAAGGTGCCTTAAGTATTTTTCCTACCATTAGAAATAAAATTTTACCAATAGGAACTTGATGTCTTTTATTTTCAATCTCATAATACCAACTAGGGTCACTAAGAACATACACTTGTTTATATTAATTATTTTAACACCTAATCCCTAATATTTACACTAAATTTGGTTTCCATAGTAGAACATCCATGAAAATCACACGATTGAGAAAACTTAAACTATATTTCCAGAATATTGAAACGTGACACCAATGTCTGCTTTTGAAAACTGTCTCCAAACTCATTGACAGAAACAACACTTTTTGGACATAATTTCAAAAATAGCACCTTATTACAATAGCTTAAAACAATAAAGAATTTCAATTTCAAATCCTTAATTTAAGCGTTAAGCATCATATCACCACGAGAAAATCAAAAATAAATCTTTATCTCATAAACCCAATCAAAATTCCACTTTCTTCAACACCATTTTTCAAATATACATTTCTCTGCCTGCCTTGTGTTCATCACCAACAATGACGAAGAAGGGATCAGTTATCCTTTACCTTAGTGGATAACCATTATATAACTGCAACTACAGTCCCCATCATTATATAACATAACATTTACTTCTTTAATAATAGAAACTAAATCCCTAAATGTCTATTTTATTTTATTTTTGCACCATAAAAATTATTTGTTCAACTTAATTCCTTATTTGACTTGGCTTTGGCCAGTCATGTTTTTTACTTTGACCATGAATGAGCGGGGTGCAACATTATATTTTGTTAAAATGGAACAATCTTCGTGTTTACAATCTGAATTATTCTAATGAGAAATATGGTAGGATTTTGAAGATTTCAAATGAGATACTAAAGGCAATTCGAAGTTTAAATGAAAATCCTATACCTACCCTCCCACTCACTTACTCTAAAACTTGGTCGTCTCTCTATATACAATGTTGTAAAAAGCATGATGCGTGGCTAGATATGCAGGCGTAGTTCCAAGCGTTACAAGCCTAGGTGAGGTTTAGGCGAAAAAAAAAGCTTTCATATTTTTAATATTATTTTAAATTTTTAATCATTTAAAAAATCATTTAATAATTAAATTAACATAAATATATAAATATATAAAATACTATATTTACTTAATAATACATATCACCAATTTTAAAATTTTTAAGTTTTCAAAATGCAATAATTATAATATTTTTTTAGTTTAATTTTCAACTACATAAATCCTACTTAATACATTTATAGGAACTTGATACATGCTTTTAGAGTTTGCAACAAAATAACGAATCTCAAGATCATAATTATATAATATAAATAGCATCATATGTTAAATCTTATTTAAAAATTCAGATAAAATTTTTACAGATAAATCTTTAAAAACTTGAAAATGAAGTCAAACGAAAAGTTTTTTTAAAAATAAAAAAAATTAATAGGCTAAAGTCAAATAAAAGACTTTTAAGGAAAAAGAAAAACTAACAAAGAATGCTTAGGGAAGATGAAAGAAAGGAAGGAAAAAATTCAGCAAGAATTGGCAAAAAAAAAAAAGAAAAAGCGTCTAGGTGCAAAACAAGGCGTTTTGCCTAAGTTTTGAGCCTAAGCAGTGTCTAGGCAAGTTTTCTAGAACACTACTTATAGACGCACACATGCACTCATTTTCTATAAGGACTAGAAGGAGAGATAAAAGAGAAAGAAAGAAGAAAATATATGACTCTTCAAGTCAACAATTTTTATTTGGTGTTTACACTAGAAGTTAAGCCTGCTATACCAAGGACTAAGGTAAGAGACTTTAGGTCAAGGCATATGCACCATTTGTAACTGTTTATGGCCCACATAAATATTTAAATTAATGAAATGGTGGAATAATTAATTTCCTAGAATAACTTTCCATATGGTTTTTGGTGAAAGTTATTGCAGGACAAAAACCACCTACTTCTATGATGGGGGAAGTTGCGTAGTTCCAAACCTATTAAAATTCCTACACAAGTTTCTCTCTCAAAAGAAACTCGTGCTTGTTCCATCAGGTAAAGGACAATCAAGTGGGCATTGACTTCCATATGTCGTGGAAGAAATTAGTTGCGTACCTTTAGCTTTGAAATGAATTGGTTCACAGAAATCAAAAATCATACTCAAATATCGCTACCCCCTATTTATGAAAATTGAAAATTGTACACATGTCGGGTCTTTGATAAGAAATGAATTTGGCTTGCACCTGAGATGTCATGTTGAAGACTAAATTTAAATAAATATATATGCCCCTCTCTAAATGCTTAAACTTTAAGATGAACATATTCAAAATAGCGAGCACCATGCCACTGCTTCATTATCTGATTGTCTGTTGCACCTTAAATTTTTTACTTTATCAGAGTTCCCAATCTTATACTTCACATCTTTATCCTGGGCATTCACAACTATTACTTGAGGGATCATAATTATACTAGATCTTTTAAGCATTTTACATCATGATGTTTAGAGATGGCTTCCTATCATTTTCTTCTGGGAACGTCAAACTCCGATCCTTGAAAATAATGTAAAATGATGAATGAATGAAATAAACTAGAGAAAGGAATCATAATTATTTGAGCTGGAGGAGTAATCCTTTAATTTTTGTTTTAGATCTGATAGAATTAGTAACTGAAGTGTCGATTGTATTCTTTTATGCAGATTCAAGAATGTATGATCTCTAGCTCACAATCCAGCCAAGGTATCATCCCAGTTAAAGACCAAGGAACTTTGCAGTTGTCAAACTAGCAGCAAATTTTCTACAGGGATGTATTGTAAAGATGAGCAGACGAACTTACTAAGAAACTGATTTTATTTGTTCATTTTTCGATTCTTTTGTCCAACAAAAATGGAAATGTATCAATTGTTTTGTTGTCGCCTGATCAGAATATATAACTACAACAGCAACTGTTATGAAATGTGAAAACAACATTGTTATTTCTTACAAGTTTTTGCAAGTACCATCTCTTTGGTAAACTATCTGCCCATTTTTGCTTGCCATTTTTTTTTTTTGTTTCTTTTAATAATGATATAATTTCAGGATACCAAGGCCAAAAATTTAATTCTCTGCTTAAAAGGGCCTTTTTTATGGGTCCAAAACTCCAATTTAACCTCGTTAAAAATGGTCACCATCTGTTTCAATTATTGTTCTCATGAAGAAGTGATCAACTGCATCATTTGTCGAGTTGGTTAAGCTAATACTAACTCAACTTGACGCTCCAATTTTGCTGTTTTCCACTCAAAATTTGGTGTAGTTGGACAAGGTACGTATGTGAACATTCTCGAGTTACCAAACATTGACGAGGAAATTGCAAAGTTATTACGATATACTAGCTGGCATTTCTCTCAATATCCTTAATAGGTATTTTAAGAAATAAATTAATAGCACAACCATTGTTGTGGTCATTTCCAGTACCACTGTTATATAGTTGCAACCGCGATTCATGCATGGTTCTTTTATTCACGATTAGTATCACGGTTGTTGGAAGCAAGAAGAGCAGTAGTGGACTGATCTTGAGAGGTATGGTAATATACTTATAATCGTCTTTCTCCATCACGAAGTACCAACTTCCCTCATTTTAACATATAATGTTTCAAAAAAAAATATTGGGAACTCTGTCCCCGGAATCCCCGTGGGCCCCTCACCCTTCAACTCTGAGATCCCCCTACTTTGACGGGCTGGCTCCAACCCTGGGACATAGTGTACTGCATTAACAATCACATCATAATCAAGATAAGTTGAATAAGAGGGTTCATCTGTGAGCCTGCAAATATGATCCATATATTTCGTAATGGAGTATGAACATTTGCAAATAAAACATTTGCAAATACTGAAGGTAATGCTTAATCTGGTAATATCAAGCATTAATTTGAGAGGTAATTTGGATACATACATGTACTTTATGCCCTTTTCACTGGAAAATCATTTCACAGCTTAAAGTGTTTTTCAAATGTAACTGAAATCTACAAAAGAAAATCACGCCACAACAATCCTATTCTCACTTTATGCCCTTTTTACTAGTTGGAATAAAGCATAGGACATTTACTTTTAGAGAAAAAATATGCTGTAATTTTTTTGTACTGCTAGGCTGGGGACCCATGGTTCCTTCATGTAGACGCCTCTACATGACTTGTGTCCATCATAGAAGTGGGTGTTCTCCTGCAATCCAATGAACATACGGAAAGTTATTCTA